AAAAAAAAAAAAAAAAAAAAAAGATTCCTGCCCTGATATGCCACCCTCTGCTACCCGGAACATGGAGGTGGCATGGGCTAGGGGTCTCACAGAGGGACCATTCTGAGGATTCACCTTCTGTTCCCTCCAGGGCACAGAGGTGCAGGTGGATGACATCAAGCGGGTCTACTCACTCTTTCTGGATGAGTCTCGCTCCACACAGTACATGAAAGAGTACCAGGATGCCTTCCTCTTCAATGAGCTCAGTGAGTGTCCCCACCCTGACTATGCCTTGTACTCCCAGTGTCACCCTTAGTGGGAGAAGTAAGGAGGCTTGGCCCAGAATGTCCAGTCCCACTCTCCAGGCCACATTGAACTCATGGCCTTCTTTCTCCCCACAGAAGGTGAAACCATGGATACCTCCTGAGCCAGATGCCACCCCTCACTCCTACCCTGTTTTCTTTCGTTTCTTTTCTTTTTTTTGGCCTTTATTCAAGTTAATATGCAGGTATAATATTTACGTTACATTGTTCTCACTTCCAGGGTAAAGTTCCCCCACCCTCTTTCCTATCAGAGTTTTGACACTGTGACTTTGTATAAAATGGTTTTGAATCTGGACCAGTTGTGTGTGTGTGTGTGTGTTGTCACCCTTAGCTCACAGAAACACACCCCCAGGATGCAGATTGAGACAGCTTTATTGGGGACGGAGGGATGGAGCATCTGCTGGCTCTGAAAGTTGGAGTGGGTATGGAAGGTTAGGGGGAGGTTATTTAGAGAAGGAAGAGACTTGGAAGGTGGGGATGGTCGCAGGCTAAGGGTTGGGCTCTGGGACCACCACAATCAGAACTGCTGAGTCGGCAGGGCCCACAACGACAGCTGAGGGCCACAGGGAAGGAGACTATAGGGTCCACACCAGGCGGGCAGCCAGGGAGCCGGATGGAGGCAAAGCGAAGCTCACGGTAGGTGCACACAGGCTGGGGTACAGGTGGCAGTGCGGCTGGCAGCACCCGCACCTAGACACCATGGGGGTAGGGAGAAAGGGTATCTGCCTGGTGCCAGGTCTTCACCTGAGCTCCCCAGCTGCCCCTACAGACCTCAGACCCAGGTGTCCAGGGGACCTCTGCACTTTCCCTCCCATGTACCCAATTCCCCAGCCCCTGCCAGGGGGACTAGGCAGCCCTTCCATCCTCAATGCTGCCACCTATCTCCTGGGTCTGACCCTTTTACCCTGGCACTGAGGTGGTAGCACCTGTCCTCAGGCTAGGAGTGCTGGCCCCTGCCGGCACTGGGTAGCTCACCATGCTGGGGCAGTAGCCAGCACAGATGCTGGTGGTGAAGGTGATGCAGACGGGGCAGGCCTCATTTTCAGCAGCCAGGGTAGCATTGATGGGCTGGCACAGTGGCCGCAGTGGGCCACTCGATGCCCATACTCCACCCATGCTCAGCAGCAGCCACAGCAGCAGCCCCTGGGACAAGGCCTGAGACATCAGCCCTGAGCCTTTACCCTCCCACTCCCAAAGATACTGCATTCAAGGACCCAGAGACCATGCCAGACATCTTGCATTCAGGACCCATTCCACATCCCAGGGGACCCCAGATGTCACAACATTTCAGTTACCCACCCTCGGGTACTGCCCCACTTGAATCCTGTTGATAGTCACACCCTTCTAGAAAAAGGTGTTCTTTACCAGAGCACTTAAGCCTGCCCCTTTTCATGCCAGTTATGTCCTAGATGGAGTTGGAAGGTGTTCCGGGGCCCTACAGTCTTACCTGGAGTGTCTCCATCCTTGGTGCCTCCCCTACCTCATCTACCTGGCTTTATACCGGTGGGTTGTGGGGGTGGCAAGGCCACTGGGCAGTGGCAGCAGGCAGGGGTAACCTAGACACTAATCTCCCCGGGGGCGAGAGGTGGACAAGGTCAGGGAAGCACAGAAGGGGCTCAGTGAATACACCACCCCTCTCCCCTCAGTGACTCCAGCGCCAAGGGTGAGACAGCATGCTGCAGGTGAGCTCACAAACTGTCCCTAGGTCCTAGAGAATAGTCCACGTTGGAGGCACAGAAGATAAGTGAAGGAAATCTTGCCAGTTCAGCCCATCATGAGGAGGGGCTGAAGCTTCAACGGAGCTCCATCTGAGGCTAAAAGAGCCATTCCTCTACCACAGTCCAACTTCTTAGGAGGGGATGTAGCTTCTGTATTAGAGGTCCCATCAACACCCCCACCCGACCCCTCAGAGGGCCTCCTAATTACTGTGCTGAGAGGGGAGCCATTTGGACCTAGTTGTTCCCTTTCTTCCTCCCACCTCCTCTGCAAGAAGGGATTCAGCCACAGCCCCACCTCTCCCACCCACACCCAACCCTCCTTGAGTCAGGATGCCAAGAACTATCTTCCTGGAAATAAGTGTGGTTTAAGCTATTTAACTAAGCGCTTGGGGCAAGCCCCACCTCCTCTCCCCTCTCCTGCAGGGCTTGTATCCCAACCGCTGCCACCACCTGGACCTGCTGTTTTTTTTTTTTTTTTTGGAGACAGCCTCAAGCTGTCACCCTGGGTAGAGTGCAGTGGCATCACAGCTCACACCTCCAACTTCTGGGCTCAAGTGATTCTCTCTTGCCTCAGCCTCCCAAGTAGCTGGGACTACAGGCGCCCACCATAACGCCCGGCTATTTTGTTGTTGCAGTTGTCATTGCTGTTTAGCTGGCCCAGCCCGGCTCAAACCCGCCAGCCTGTGTATATGTGGCTGGTGCCCTACCCATTGAGCTACGGGCGCTGCCTCGACGTGCATTTTCTAGGCATTGCCTCCCCCAAACCTGAAGCAGCCGAGTAGGCGTGTCTGGTTTTTGTCACGCCCATGTAATTATATCTGATGGGCGTGATTCAGTTGTGTACCCGCCCTCAGCCCTGCCCAGAGTACCGGGCCTTAGTTCAGGCTCGGCTCCGCCCCACCGCCCAGAGCCTGTGTCCAAGGGCTCCGCTGCCCTGGCAGGCTCAAACTGGCGCCGGCTTCAAGCTGCCGTAGGTGGAATTTTCGGTAGCGTAGGCTTTAGGCACGCTGTAGATTCCCGGCAGGGGCTTCCAGTGGAGGCCGCCCCAGGGCGCCTCCAGTGGGCAGAAACGGTCGAGCCTGCGGAGTGGATGCAGCGGGGTACTGTAGGACTCCTGAGGCAGAGATAGGGCCCCGCGGTGCGGCACGGCCGGCGTTACCCGGCGCGCGCGGGGCAGGCGGATCTGCGGCGGTCGCGGCGGCCGAGAAGAGCGTGGACAGGGTGGCCACTGCGGACCGTGGCCCCAGGCCTGGGGCATCTCGAAGCTCCAGTGGGTCCGTAAGTCCTTGCGAGGATATCCAGACAGCTCGTTCCTGTGAGAGGGAGGCAGGATGGGGAAGATTCAGCTGGATCCACCCGACGGGGCTTAGGTTCAGACCTCTTGTCCTGGGGAAGACTGCAGACCCAAACTCCCGCATTTCGAGGCGAGAACACTTTTGCAGGCATCGTGGACCATTTAGGAAGGACGGGATGAGGGATGCGTGGTCTGGATTCTTGGGATCTTGAGGTACGTAAGAGCCTGGAAACTGAGTTTTTGCATCCCTGGGAAGGAGAATCTGAGGGCTCGAGTGCTGGCGGAGGCTTCGCCCCCACATCAGAACCCTCTTGGGCCTAACTGCGGGTTCCTGTCCCTATCGCAGCTTCTAAGAATTAACACTAAGGACGCCTGGGTGTCAAAGAGGTAGGGGCTGAAGTCTGAACTCTGGTTTTTGCGTGTGCGGGAGTTGAGAGCTGGGACTAACTGCTGAGTCAGAGAGGGGGAGCCACACCAGGGGTCTCAGCGTCGGCCCGCCCTCAGGGTGCTGTGTGGTGCAAGGACCCTAGCTCACTTCGGGTAGAACCGTAAGTCCCGGACCGAGGTGGTCAGGTAGAGCTGATGGCGGTCCAGGACACTCTGGTCCGGTATTGTGAACATTTGACTAGCCAGCTCGGGGTTCTTCGTCCAAGGAATTAGAGCCTAAGGAAGATTGGGGGAGGAAGGATGAGCAAGAAAAAGGTTTCAAGCCCCCTTCCAAGCTCTGGGTCCCAGACTCAGAATCCTTCTTGGGTCTCTACATCCCCACTGGACTCAGCTCCTCACGCCCGCCCCCAATCCTTCCTGACCAATCGCACGCCAGGGTACTTCGTCTCCGTTCCTCAAATCAGAATCCTTGTCAGCCTCACCCCGCTAATTCCAAACACTCCTGCTGGTCAAGGAACTCATCCAAGTCCCCAGTCATAAATAAACCTTCCTGGTTCCGCCAACGGAGCACAGCAACATCTTGGGCAACAATTCCACTTTACCTCTCCCACCTTCCAACCTGACTCCGTCTCAGATAGTCTAGCTCCGCCATCGCACTAGCCTCCAAGCCTCTTTCTAGCCCCGCCTCAAGAAGTCTAAGTTCGGGCGGCGCCTGTGGAGTAGGGCACCGGCCCCATATACCGAGGGTGGCGGGTTCAAACCCGGCCCTGGCCAAACTGCAAGGAAAAAAAAAAATAGCCGGGCGTTGTGGCGGGCGCCTGTAGTCCCAGCTACTCGGGAGGCTGAGGCAAGGGTATCGCCTAAGCCCAGGAGTTGGAGGTTGCTGTGAGCTGTGACTCCACGGCACTCTACCAAGGGCAATAAAGTGAGACTCTGTCTCAAAAAAAAGAAGTCTAAGTTCGTCCCCCACTTTCTTAAAAACTCCCCAACCCCGCCTCGACCCTTTACCCACGTCCTAGACTCTAAATTCCTTCTGGCCCCACCCCGAGGCTCCCCCAGCTCTGCTCCGGGGTGCTAGCCACTGTCTTCCCACTCCCCTACCTGGGAAGGACCCCCGCGGTGGTGGTCTGCAAGCTTCAGGGGCTGGGGACCGAAGTGGACGGTGGGGCACTGGTTCAGGTCGGGCCAGCTGTACTGCGCCTTCATCTCGCTGCTCTGGTGCTTGGTGATCAGAGGGAGACGCCACCCGCGATGTCTGAGCTGCGGGAAGACGAACCAGAGATCTAACGTAAGGGCGCAGGAAAATCGAGTGTGGTCCCCAGCCCTGTTTCACGCCGATTACGGCACCCCAGAACCTTACCTTTTCTCCTAAAGCCTTGATTCCCATAGTCGGCGTGGGGTCAGCAGGCTCTGAGGCCCGGGGCTGCGCGTAGGGTTCACCGTGGGTCTTGGGTACATAAGCCGAGCCAGAGGTCGTCTCCCATTTGCTGCTCACCTCGTCGAAAGCCCAGATGTGCAAACCCTTCTGTGCCGCCGGGGGTAGGGGCTCTGCGACCGTGGACTGGGGAGAAGGCATTGGACTTCAACTAAGAAGCTCTGGAGTCTGCTCCTCCAACTCCAGCTCTAACCTCTTCCAGTAGTCCCCAGCCCTTTCGCTCTTCAGTCCCTGATAGCCAGTTCCCTGGCCCCTCTTCTCGCAGACCTTGGACTCCAAAACCCTCCTCCTTCAGACGGGAGCCAAAGCTCCCAACCATCACTTCCCTCAGCATTTCCCTAGGCCCCTCCTTAACCCTAGGGTCCTCTCACCTGCACAGTGGACGGGGGAAAGGGCACAGATGGAATAATGTAGTGGGCAACGCTGCTACTGGTGAGATGCCAGCTGGGCCAAGATCCAGACACTTCGGCTCCCAAGATGGGGGACCATGGGTGTCCATAGCGCAGAGCTAGTGTGCGACCAGCCATGGTCCCACCCTGTAGCCAAGCCAGAGCAAGCTTGTTGCTGCCGTTGCCCCAGGTGACAGAACCCGCCCATCCAGAACCCAGCCAATGAAGGGCCTGCAGGCATGTGGACCGATAGAGAGAGAAAAAAACCTAGTAATAGAGGAGACAGGGACCCCAGGTGCCGGTCAGGAACACAGAGAAACATGAGGAGGGGGTCGGGGACTCAGAGACAGGAAGGCATAAGGGGAAAGGGAAGTAAAAGTTCAGAAAGAGAGTTTCAAAGATTTTGAGACCCCAGGGATCGAGGAGAGAGGGACAGAGATGGGGCGGGTCAGAGATTGAGGCAGACTCCACCCCCAGCACATCAGGGAATCCATGAAAAACATCCCCTTTCTTTTCCTTCTAGAGACAGAGTCTCATTTTGTCACCCTCTGTAGAGTGCCGTGCCGTCACAGCTCAAAGCAACCTCCAGTGGCCCGGTTCGAACGCGCCACCTTCGGTATATGGGCCCGGCGCCCTACTCACTGAGCCACAGGCGCCTCCCGGAGAAACACCCCCTTTCTTTACAAGGTTCAAAGGCTCTTGGCTGCCTCCTCCCTCTGCCAGGCCTGCCCACCTCAGGGTAACAATTTCCAGACGACTCTGGGGCTTCCCCACCCTCTCTCCGCGAGCTGAAGGAGTCAGGGCCAGCTGTTCTGCCTGCCTTTGATTTGGTTGAAAACTTCCACCTGGGCATGGGGCGGCAAACAGGGAAAGACCCACAGAGAAATACAGAGGGAAATACTTAGCAAAAAAGAAGAGCAAAGGGCAGCGCTGGCCTGGCCATAAACTGCAACAACAACAACAAAAATAAACAGGGGCAAGGCAGGCCGTGGTGACTCATGGCTGGTGGATTGCTTGAGCTCTGGAGTTGAGACCAGCCTGAGCAAGAGACCCCCTCTCTAAAAATAAAATAGTTGGGTATTGTGGTGGGTGCCTGTAGACCCAGCTACTCAGAGGCTGAGGCAGGAGAATCACTTGAGCCCAATAGTTTGAGGTTTCTGTGAACTGTGATGCCACAGCACTCTACCAAGGATGACAAAGTGAGACAATGGCTCAAAGAAAAGGGCTTGGGGTCTGAAGTTCAGTGAGTAGGGCACCAGCTACATACACCAAGGCTGGTGGTTCGAGCCAAGCCCGGGCCACAACAACAAAAATAGCTGGGCATTATGGGAGGTGCCTGTAGTCCCAGCTACTTGGGGAGGCTGAGTCAAGAGAATCGTTTAAGCCCAAGAGTTTGAGGTTACCGTGAGCTGTGACGCCATGGCACTCTACCGTAGGCGACATAGTGAGACTGTCTCAAAAAAAAAGAAGGCGGCATATGAGTGAGCTTTGCTGAGTAAGGAAGAAATGTACACAAGAAAAAAAGGCTTCATGCCCGTAGCACAGTGGTTATGGTGCCAGCCACATACACCAAGGCTGGAGGGTTCGAACCCAGCCATAGCTGGCTGAACAACAATAACAACTGGAACAAAAAATAGCTGGGCCTTGTGGTGGGCATCTGTAGTCCCAGCTACTCGGGAGGCTGAGGCAAGAGAATCACTTAAGCCCAAGAGTTTGAGGTTGCTGTGAGCGGTGACACCATGACACTCTACCAAGGGCAACAAAGTTGGACTCTGTCTCAGAAAAAAAAAGAAAAGAAAGAAAAGAAAAAACAAAAAGAAATGTACACAAGAATGGGTAAGCAACAGTGAGGGAGAAGCAGGGACAGAAAGAGAGCTACTAACCCAGAGATGAAAGACGTAGGAAGTTAGTTACAGAAGGAGATGGCAAAGAAGAGTGGGAATCATAGGTCTAAAACAGAGATGTAGAAACAGAGGCAGGCAGATCCCCACCCTGTCCAGGGGCCCAGTCTGTGTAAGAGGGGAAAGGGGATGTCTATGTCCTTAGCTGAAAAGTTGGACCTAAAAAAAGTGTGAGATTGTTTGCGTTGCCAACAGATGTGGGGCAATGGAGTGGTAATAAATGAAAGGGTGAGTAGAGGGTCTGCCCTTGACTTACCTTGCCACCTCCTCATCATAAAGAGCTTTTGGTCAAACCCTTTGCCACCTCAGCACCATTATCTCATCCCACTAGCCCATTCTTCAGACAGGGAAAACCAAGGCCACCTTCTGCAGCCTGGCCTAGGTCCTAATGAGCCCCCCCTCCCAAATCAGCCTTCTGGGGCTTCTTCTGCTGGATTATCAATGTCCAACAACCCCTGATTCAAGCCAGGGGCAAGCCAATTGGTCAGAATCTCATGTACC